TCTCGAGATCTTGGTTTTTGGGTTTGGATCTTCTTTTTTTCAGCTCATTCCCACGACATCCATCTTTTGGCCTGTCATGTGCCAGGGGTTATGAATTTGATAGCAGATCATCTTTCTCGACCCCATCAGATTCTTCCAACAGATTGGATGTTCCATCGGGAGGTCTTTCAATGGATTTGTTCTCAGTTCTGGTCTCCAGTTCCACATCCACAAGCTCTGACGATAGATGCTTTCCCTCAGGACTGGACGGGATTACATTTGTATACCTTTCCTCGTGTTCGTCTCTTATCCAGAGTCTTGTCTATGATTCGTTCCACCCTATGTTGGGTTCTCTTGACAGCATCCTTTTGGCTTGCTGAAACATGGATTCCTCTTCTTCGGTTGCTCCAGGAATGTCCACCACTACCTACATCTTTGCTTGTCCTTGTTGAGACAACCTTGGTCCAACATTCAATACCCGAACGTTCGACTCCAGCTTCATGCATGGAAGTTATGCGATCCTTTGCCCGACATAGGGGTTTAACTTCTAAAGTTTCTGTTTATTTGACTAAAATCCTCCACTGACTTACTATGGCAATCTATGAATGGAAATTGACTACATTTTGTCAGTGGTGTCTTCAGTAAGCCTTCAACCCACTTCATCTAACAGTCTCCATAGTTTCATGTTTTTTGAGTGGATTTTTGAGAGAGGTTTAGATTCTTCTACCTTGCATTATTTACAGCATCTTTAGCTGCTCCCTTTTGCTATTCTACATATAGGATGGTTTTTGACTCTCTTGTGTTATCTCATCTTAAGATCCTTTCATATTCTTTGACCTAAATGACCTTTTCAATTGCCTGATTGGGACTTTAGAGTTGTTTTACATGCATTTTCATTTTATACCTTCAATCCAATGGCCTCCTGTTTGTTGTATCACCTTTCCCTTAAGGTATCTTTTATTGTTGTTAGTTTCCAGACACTGCTGTTCTGATTTATGTGCCATCCTTGTTCAGCAGACTCTCTTTCATTCCACCTATGTTTTCCTCTATCCAGACAGATCCTTTTTACCAAACATTCTTGCTGCTGGAGAAGGGAATAAATCCTTTTCTCCTATTCATTTGCCAGGCTTTTCTCATCTTTACAATCAGTCAGACCTGGATCATTTGTTGTGTCCAGTCAGAGCACTTCAATGTTTTGTGACTGTTCAGGGGCCCTAGAAACTGGCTTTTTATTCATTGGGATCCTGCGGTGTCCCGGGATTTATCACCCATTACATTACCCAGGGAGCTTAGGAAGTTGATTCCTATAGCCTATTTGGGGTTATCTGTTGAACATCGAAATATGCTCCATGTCACTTCTCACCAGATTTGGCATCTATCAATGTTGTTGGCTGCTCATCTGAACAGTTCTCTGGGGGATATTTTGCGGGCCAGTATGTCGACTTCTCCCAACACTTTCCTATCTCATTACCTTCATGATCTAGCAGTCTCCTCTTCCATGGGATTTTGCCTTCCTCCCTGTGGTTGTGTTGACTGTCTCTGCTAGATTTTAACAAGGAGGTGTGTCACTTTTTTACCTGATTAACAGTTTCTTTCTTTTTTCTTCTAGTGTCCCTCTTTATTTCCTTTGGATCCCACTCAGTAGCGAGTGTTGCCCAGTCAGGTGTGCTTGTGATTTTCAATTCCACACTGGCATCCTTTATTTCGGTTCATGATTGTAACAGGCTCTGTTGAGATGAGGTGTTTCATAAGACCATATAGATGCAATTCTGGATGGTAGTTATATCTCACAATACAAATCCAATGGACTGCTACTCATGGACTGTCAGGAGTAAAGCTAAAGGGGATTTTTCCAGTCCATGCTGATCTTAGAGTTGAATCAGCCAAGATCGGTTTGCATTTGAAACTTTGGGAATGTGGTTCACCACTGCACTCGTCCCCTAATTTTACTAGCAGAGCTAGGGAGTCCTTACCACACCCAGTTCCCAGTCACTGGGGTGGTGGACAGAATATTTTCCTTCAGAGTGTTAAGTTTCTACACTCTCTGAGAAGAGGGTGAAGATGGGGACCCTCCTACCCGGGTCCCTGGAAGTTTTTCCCAGATGTCGGTAGGAGCAGGACCAACCTACACAGGAGCCTACTCATAAAATCAGTCCAGATTTGACACTTATCTATCTGGTAGGGGTGTGCTTGAACCCTCTTATGAACACTGTTGGGTCTTAGTTTGTTCATAAATAGGGTCCACTATCTCCTCGTAAATCCGAACACGAAGAGGTCCCATCTTAGAGCCATGGTGGAACAGTGTTCCATGTCCTCTCCATAATTCCATAGGTAAGTGGAATCCTCTTTGTCCACTTGATTCGGGAGTGAATATGACTGTTCGTAAATCCTGACCAGATGGGTTCTGGACCTTGGGTGGAGTATGGCATATATGATCCTGTCAATCCATGCCTGGGATGCTGCCTTTTGGACTTCTTCAGGTTGATCAGAAGGATTGTCCACATTGGGGTTACTTTCTTTCTTTCATAAGTCCGGTAGTTCGAAACATATCATTCCGTGGCTACTGGTGGGGATCCTATTTACAAAGATTTGTCTATATTTGTGGTCCCACTGCCCTGGCCACCAACATGAGATATAGGTACCATGACCCCTTAAATCCAGCCCCGAGTCTTGGAACCTCGTCTGCGTGGTTGGGGCTGGCCCATCATACTTACTTGTGTAATATTCCACCCTTTCACTTTTCTGTAGTTCTGGGTGATGAGCATGCCTATTCTGATGTAGTGCAGTTTTCCCCGCTTGGATTCAACTTCTCGTGGTACACATTTGTTCTGTGCGGATGCTTTCTATATGACCTATGCCCTCACTGGCCCCTCCACTTTCTCAATGTGGGATTCTAGCTATAAGTGTCAGTGGAGGAATGTATATTTTGGAAGTTATCGTTTTCCTAATCCGAAAATGTATTTCCAAACATATTTACCTCTGCTGACACTCTCCTTCCCTTCCTCTCCACTAAGAAGCGGTGTTTTGTGACCGGGATGGGTAAATTTTGAAAAAGTAATTATATTGTCTGCATATAGTGCTTATATACAGTACCTGCATAGAGGGCATGTGAGGGCCGGTGTAAAGTTTTGAAAATTAGAATTTGCCAAGGGCAGTCGATTGGGGTATAAAAGACAGGGGCAAAAGATTACAATGTATAGATGGTAAAGATGAAGATCGAGAAATAGCTATAAATGTCAGCAAAGGTAAGTATATTTGGAAATATATTTTCTGATTAGGAAAATAACTACCAATCTTAACAAAAATTAGGGTTAATTTTTATTGACACTTTAAGTTGTTAACCATGAACAAGTATAAGACCAACATATAAGTATTAAATTTCTTGTTTTTTATGCATATTTTCTATATATTGTAACAAAAATAAAAGATTTGAAAGTTGTTGGATTAAATAAAAAAATATAATTTAAAATAACTAAAAAATAGTTAACTTCTCCATGAAGTATGCACACAAGAAGTTTATGCATTACGTAATTCAGTACTGTAACTTGAGCAATGCAGTTACTTTTTTAGCAGGTTTAGAGTTTAGGCACAGTTCAAAGAGCAATAAAACAAAATTGAATAAAAAATAAATGTAAACTGTTACAAGCCTGAGGCTGTTTGAAATAGATAATTGAATTTTTCTATTAAAATATGCAGTCATTGTAGAAAGAAAAAAGGGTAATTTAGATTTATTTTGTATTTTCTCTGGTGGTTACAAGGTTGGTCAAATGAACTGAGCCTGTAAAGTGTTAGGATAGCAAAAGTAACAGATAAAATACAAAGTTTTACTAAAAAAAATTTTGATATTCATTTAGAAAGTTCTAAAGTGTTATTCAAATCAAATTTGAAAACTGTAAGATGAAAAGGTATTATTTTAACATTAGCATAAAAATCAACTTGCACTCAGACTACTAAGCGTCTAGCTTAATCTCTGAATCCATAAATTTGCAGACAAATCTTTAGTAAAAAATTTAATTTTTGTGTACAAAATACTATAATCTGTGTGGGCAGCCCATTAGCCAATAGCCATGTGTGGCAATTTTGCAAAAATATGTGGCCAACTCGTAGAATCATCGTTAGTGTGTTTTTTAGTGGTCAGAGAAAAAGAATGCCAAATCTCTCATTGAAATTTCATGCTTTTGTAATTTTGAAAATGTATTTTTTGTACTTTTGAATTGTGTTTATAATTGACCTTGACTGTCATTAGAATCCTGAAATAAATTTATTTAGCAAAAAGTTTCTGTTTTATGAATAGTGTGGCCATTTCTGTGATTGACTGGCCACATCCATGGCCAGGATAAAAATTTGGTTGCCTACCCATGCTTTATAATATTTACTAAAAGCTTCTCAAATATTGTGAAGATACTATTAAAAGGTATAGTATGAGTAGTATCATGGTTTTATAGTGGTTACAAGGATAGTCAAGCCCATATAAAGAGAGTGGATTAATATAAACAGTAAAGCTCCAGTGGTTCTTTGTGCACTGACGATGGGACACTTGATGTGGTGTGATGCATCACGTATCACCATTCTGCTTAGATAAGTTATTGATTGCTTTTATGGTTCCTTTGGTTAAAGCTGTTGGCACAGGTGCCAAAAAGGGTGTTTGTTCTGGTATGATCTGAGGTGAGAATTATCAAATAATGCTCTTTCTGTGGCTGGCTATTAAATTTTGATCAGGCTCATCCCCACAATGTATCTTAAAAGGTAATATCTCTAAATTAGGACAATAAAACCACCATTTATTTTTTTAGTATCATTAACAAATGGATCACTGAGAAACATGTCACAAGCTTCAGTGATTTTCCCATAAGAAGTATAAAATTATATTGCAGATTAGTTACGAATTTCAAAAATATTTTAAGCACCAGGTAATAACAGACATTTTAATATCATTAATTTTACTTATCTTGTCTATGACTTTCTTTAGATCCTTATTCTGGATAAAATTGTAAACTTCATTTTGAAATACCATGTTACAGTTATCTCAGTGACATAGACAGAATAGCAACGTCAGATTATCTTCCTACCCAACAAGACATTCTTAGGGTCCGAGTCCCTACAACAGGCATTATTGAATATCCTTTTGATCTTGACTCCATTATCTTCAGGTTAGTGAAGATCATTTAGTCACATTATAATATATATTTAAGAACATAGGTCAGAATATTTAATATTAATTTTTATATCTTTGTGCTTTGCCATAGTTATTTGTCTGTATATATTCATTTTTTGAAATACCTTAGTGTTTTTGAATTGTTATGGTAGTTGTATTAAGCTTCTTGTTCCTTAGCTTAAAAACATAGTCCATTTTAATTTTAGCAAACCTTAATGTAATTGGGTTGTTAAAACAAAATAAACAACAAAGCATGGAACTAATCCAAAATGGAGTATGTCAAAAAAATTGCCATAAGCTCCAAATGTAGGCTTCATTTTTAAGCTGAGAAAAAAAAAATCAATTACAACAATGATGTGTGCTTCTTGTGCCTCCTTTTTCTACCATAAATTCTAAAAAAATGTACAGACAGTAAATATTTTGTTGAATTTTCTTTGGAAAAGTTGTATTTTTGGAATAGGTAAAATTCATTTTCTAAATAAGTCATAGTTTTATTATGATATTTGTTTATGCTCTTTTATTAGAATGGTTGATGTTGGTGGTCAAAGATCTGAAAGAAGAAAGTGGATCCATTGTTTTGAAAATGTCACCTCTATTATCTTTCTTGTCGCCTTAAGTGAATATGATCAGATTCTTTTCGAGTCTGATAACGAGGTAAGTTTGAAGGATACAAAGTGTTTTTTTTTTCTCAAGCGTGTTTAATTAGGAAGTGCTACCTATAAGGTTTTATGAAGCTCAAAAGCCTGAAATGAAAGAAAGTAATGCTTATTATTTTTACATTGGCAAAAATTGCTTTGGAAAGATATCCAGTGATGTTAATAGAACTTGTATTTTCCTTTTTACAACTATGGAATGAAAGAACATTGTAAGGTAGGATCTCAAAGACAGGTTGTTATTTAAAAGATATTAGATAACATCAAGGAACAATTCTTCTTATATTACAACTAGTTAAGTATTAGGCTGTCAAGAAATTAATGTAGCATTTTGGAACACTTTCATTAACCACCCCCCAAAAACGTACATAACGTATAATAGTTAAACGAACTGCCTAAATGTCACGTTAGTGTAGCCTATATACAGTGTCGTAGCCAGGATGCACACATTGAGGCCGCAATGACAAAGATATATAAAATCCCCTGGGCAACACCGGGTATCTCAGCTAGTAAGTAATAAGACCGATTCCTAAACTATTGTATAGAATTTACTAAATAGTGCATGCTAACAATTAAAGTAACATTTCCTCACCTATGAAGAACAAAATGGATGCTTTGGATAGAATCTTTCCATCAATAATAATGCCTCAAACACTGTAAATCTAGCATAAACAAGAATGAGAGAGTGGTTTCATTTATGTGTCTTCTTATCTTCACTGTTCAATAAGTGCATACAGTTCCCTTCTTGCACAATAATTCACTTCTGACACGAATAATTTAGTTTATTCAACTATGCTCATGTTTTGTGTAAGAAGCAACACGTTTGTCTAATATTCAGTTATATTTTTTATTTTATTAATAAACGAACAATTAATGTTGCATTGATCGATAACAATTTATTTGAAATCTGATGAATCCGAATAATCCACGTCAGCGGTATGCAGCCGTTGATGCGATAAAAAAACACAAAAGCATAAGTACAAATAAATTTTATTTTATAAATATTGATTTACAGCAACTATTTCTTCAGTTACCTAATATTTTTATACATGAGTACATTGGAATTATTTAAGTTGAAAAAAAAGTAAAAAGAGGCATTTTATTTTTAGAGGCTGCATTTTCGTGGCTATAGCACTGCATATATAATGTGTAAAGTTTAGTATACTCTGATCCCTTAGTGATGGCACACGATGAAACACACATTTGGCATGTAATGCTGTCTGAATACAAGAAGGAAAACAGAAACTTCTTTGATATTCCTGTAGCCATAAAGAATATCAAAGAAGTTTATGGAAATGTTTTGAACGTTTGTAAGTGTCAACGATGGTTCAGCAAATTTTGTTCAGGTGACTTTAGTCTTAAAAATTGTAATAGCAAGGGTCGACATGTTGGAATTGATATTGATGCTCTGAAGACGTTTGTTGAGTTTAACCCAAGGCAAGACACTTGTAAATGGCCCTGAAATTGCATGTCTCTCATGAAACAATACGTACACATCTAAGAACTATGGGAAAACTCCATAAAGAAGGTATTTGGGTGCATCACGAACCCTCCGATGATCATCGTTTCCAACGTGTGAACGTTGGTTCGTCTCTTCTGGCATATAATGCACATGAACCATTTTTGGACAGAATTGTCACCGGTGATGAAAAATGGATTCTCTATGCAAATATTAAATGCCAAAAACAATGGCTCAGTCCTAGACGAAAACCACTTCTGACACCAAAACCTGGACTCCATCCACAAAAAGTGATGCTTTGCATTTGGTGGGACATCAAAGGAGTAATTCATTTCAAACTACTCAATCTACAGCAAAATGTCATTGCAGAGATCTATAGTCAGCAACTGGAATGTTTAAATCAAGCTCTTCATCAGAAATGCTCTTCACTCGTCAATCCGAAAGATGCTCTTCTT